TATCGCTGCCTCACCCCGGAGTAACAAGACCCGGTTCGTTGTTTCTTTCTCTCTATTTTATTTTATTTTCTTGAAAATTTTTATTTTGACCGGCACTCTGTTTGCATTCTGCATTAGTGCTGTAGACTCGTTTGAAGAAACAGGCCCAACTGCCTGACGGGTTGCAGACCTATCAGGATGATCCAGAGCGCCTTGAAACTTCAGCTATACCATATACATATTGGTCTCAAAATACATGGGATGACTCAAGCTAGCTTTTTTCCTGCAGTCTCGCATGAATCTATATTCATTGTTTGGGATTGACTGCTTTGTTTGTGATGCTTGAACTCAACCCAAACACAACAAAGATGCCAAAAGGAAGCAACACACATCGACATGCACCAATGCACTACAAACCATTGGTGAAATTTAAAACCACCTAAATACAATCGGCTAATGATATCATTCCAGATACGAAGAAACAGCCCATCGAAGAATCTTGCAATTTGACAACTACATGACACTTGGATTATTTTGAAGGAGAAAGGATGCGCGATACCTTCCCCAATGTCGAGAAAAAGGCTTGTTCTTCGCTGCATTCAAACATGGTCTTATCTTGATCAACTTCATGCAGTCCAAATATAGAACATGGGGTCGAAGCAAACACTCCTAGATAAGGGCCCTGGACGGCGATCTTCTGCAGGTCAAGGTTTTCTAAACTTCCGACAGGTGCACATACATACTGGGGCTTCCCGGGAAAATCTGTCCTTCTCGAATACCCACAACTATTCTGTGCATTGTTCAGGATGTGACATTCCGCCCAGCCGCTACAATCCAACTCACATTCCGGACCGTCTATCATAACAGGGCATTGGCCGATGGACAATATCACCCCACTACAATTCGATCAATTGGCTAATCATGATGAAGGAAGTGAGAAAAATATGTAGCCAAGTGTGCTGCCGATCATACTGTCACCCAATTCGGGTCTTCTTCGGGCAGTTGATGATGGGATAACAGGTATCATGACGCTTACACTACAAGCATCAACCTTGGAACCTGTCAAGAAAATATCCTCCTGTCTTAGTTGTAGGGCTGGTCCTGGTTCCTTGGACAAACCTGGCTCGGAGAGCGTTCCGGTCCATTTCCTTTCCTGATTCCTAACGGTCTTGCTCTTAGGAGTTACGCCGATCTCCAATTAAAGGTATCGGGCCAACATGCCCAAGTCCTCCCCAGACCCACATCACCAGCACATCTAAGGACTGTTCCACTGCTTCTGGATTAGTGAAGGAGGGTTACATTCCCGTTGGTGGCTATCCGCAACGGAACCCCATTGGGATTTGACAAAGATTGACAGCTTGGCCAGCCATTCATATTTCCACAAGCTATGATTGGCTTGAGGAGTTTTAAATCATTCTTCTGGGGGGTTGGTGGAGCCGTCCAGGAGCCAACTGGGGCCTTTCATAGCACATTCCTTGTCCATCTTTAGAGCACTTGGAATGTGTCCAGAAATTCCGAGGCTGGTGTCCCCGGCAGCCATTCAAATAGGCCTTGTATCTGTTTGTTTGCTTTGCTTTCTTTGCATCATCTGCAGTGTTTTCTTTGATTGACAAACTATCAAACATTCAAACACTTCCTTTCTTTTTGCATCCTTTGCACTTCTTCGGATATCCGGGTCGATCCCTCCCCGAACTATTCCCAAACCCTACTAAAGCTCTATTTCAAAGATATCTTTGGTTGTCCAATCAAATTCAGTCTTTCGACCTTCAGTCGCTGACTACACTATCGACCCGTTCTTTTACTTTGTCGCTGCAAACGGAAATCAGCCAAAATGTTCGCCCAACCCTACGACCATTCGTTCAATGACTTGTTCAACCAATACGTCAATATGGAGACTAGCGCCGCTGATGGAAAAGATTCCGCTTTGGCCGACTTTGATCAGCTTTTCCCGCTTGACTCACTATCAACTGACTGTGGCGATCTTCCACCTGTCTCCACTCCCAAACGCCATCAATCACCGCAACCCTGGAGTAAAGAGTGGCCCCTGCAGGATGACGGGGCCGCTGCCGATCATTTTGCTTTCCACGACACCGTCCACCCTTCTGCAATCTCAGACGTCAGTGTGAACAACTTCGAAGTCTCCTCTCATCCTACAACAGTCAACCGTCTGTCCACATCGCCGTCCACTCCTCCAACTACCCCTAGACGGAAGCCTGCCCAGAGCGCTCTGATCACTCCCAAATCTATCCGCCATCGCAACCCGAATGAGCGCCGCTCCAATTTGCGCAAGCAAACTTTCTCTCCTAGCTTAATGCGCTCTTCCAACCTATCCAACGGAAGAATGGCATACCCTGATGCTTGGGCCCAGCGAATCCAGAACTTCAATCTTCATAATTCTGAAGATCGTCTGCCGCTCTCACCCCCTCCATCGGATGTCCTTATTCAGCATGAAAACATGCCTACCGAACAAATCATGAATCAACCTAGAGACTCAGCGGAGATGCCTCCCCAGTACGACGCGAGGCTATACCACCAGTCTCCCTCGGTTTCAATGCCGTCGCCGAATATCACAATGGCAGCACGATACATGGCCCACCCAAGCTCTTCCACCTTGACCAACTCCAGCCCTTCTTCTGTAGATGATATATTCTCTTCATCTCACTCATCCGACCCCAATTCTCTCTCCTCTTGGCAATCAGACTCTCTTCATGCCTCATCTCTTTCCTTCACTCCAGACCTCCAAGGCCAAGATTCTCAATGGTGGTCTCCCATGCCTTCTCGGGTTGCTCAACAACAGGCCGCTTACCTCACATCTCCCACACCCGTGCGCTCCATGCAAAGCGTTGGAAATCAAAAGGACATGATGCAAGGAGGACTCATGATCCAATTCAACCCTTCCTATGATATGTCTGCGGACCACTCCTTCTCATCATCTAATATGCTCCCCACCAACCCTCAAAAATTCGACACCTCCTTCACCACCTCCCAAGTCCACAACATCTCCCATTCACCATCTCTCTCTCCCAAGGCCGGCACATCTCCCATTGATCCCAGCTATGGATCCATTTCCAAGCCTACTCATCGCCGCACTCACAGCCGCAAGCTCTCTGGCCAGAGTACGAGTGCTCCCAAGCCCGCCAAGGCATCTGGCTCATCGCCCCGAGGCGCAAACAAGTCTGTCAGCGTATCGTTTGTCAACTTTACCGCCCACGACAGCAAAAAGATTCTAACCGGAGTTGCTCCCTCCGGAAGCTCCAAGACCAAGGCCCGCCGTGAGCAAGAGGCCCGCGATAGACGCCGTAAGCTGAGTGAAGCCGCACTGAGGGCTGTGCGCAGCGCTGGTGGCGACGTCGAAGCTCTTGAAGCTGTTCTCTGCTAAGCTTGTTTTTGATTCAATATTGCTTTATTTCTTTCCGTTCTGCGCTTTTTATCATCGTTTTTCTCAGCTGGTGTTTCAGGGTTATATCATTGGGAATATCTGGTTTACTTTGGAGTTTACAGTTTTGCTTTCAGGCCTGGCCCCGGGTGATTGCACCCCCAAAATGTTAGACTATTCTAATATCTAGACTCTTCTGTGGATATCTAATCAATAATATTTTGTGACTACCCAGCTTCTGCTGTATCTTGTGCTATCTTTTTTTTAGGGTTGAGTTAATCCGTTCTGCTTTTTGCCAAACTGGTGAGCTTCATCTCTTCTGTTTCGATCCTGTCACCATCATTCCTGTGACTGTCTTTGGCTAACTTTCGTCTTTTACACTGAGCCCTCCATACTGCGCCCTTCATACACAAGTCCCCCATACACAAGTCCCCCATACACAAGTCCCCCATACACAAGTCCCCCATACACAAGTCCCCCATACCAAGTTCCCTACCTATATATGACTTTGAAGTCTACGAGCGCGATTCATGCTCCAGCCCTGACTATAAATATCACCCCGGACAATTTCTTCCTCTTCTTCCTCTTCTTCCTCTTCCCTCCTCACGATACACATAAAGTTCTGGTGAGTACTATACTCTGCTTACACGGTCCTATACCACTATCATCTCGCCTTTCTATACTGAATTGACCCTTGTGCCCTTCAATTGCATGCCAGTACCTCTGATATTGGCGAAGTGAGCCCTCTAAATCTCTCTCATTGTATATGCATTGACCTTGCTTTAACCTTCATCAATTTTTCACCCATTTTTCACTTACCTTTCATTTTCTCTCACTTGCATATCAATTGCTGCTTCACAGTATCTCACTTTTATATCAATTTCTGCTTTGGCAGTATCTCACTTGTTGCCCATTGATTGCTACGTATCACCTCAAGCCCTAACCTACAGACACCCCTTTCCTACTTGCCATCTCACTGAGACCAGGTATCTTGCATGCCCATCAGCCTTCATTTGCTGCAATTGAATCATTCTGATATCCTTGCTTGCTGCCGCACATTTGCTTTTTCTTGCTCAGCCTTGATTTCTATTTCTCTTCACTCAAACTCTTTCCTTTACACCATCATCCATCTTTTTCACATCTCTACCTACATTGAGGTATTCTATCACCGCGTTCAATCCTGCATCTTCATTGCATAACCATATCCATTGCTATTGCATTTCCATTTCCATTGCCCTCGCCCTTGGCCGTGGGCTGGGTACTTGCTTTACCGCATTGTCTGCCTTACATTGCCTATTGATTTGCTGCATCGGTCCGTCTTCAAATAATAATCCTTATGGTGCTCAATATTATAATGTTTCATCGTTATTGACGCATAACTACAGATCTTCGAAGCGGACTGCAACTTCCTTTTTTCAGAAACCCATACGAAAGACAAGATCGCGCTTGTCTAGTCTGAAAATTTGTTCCTTCCTTTGTCCTTTCCTCTTGTTCCAAATCTGCTCCGGAAATACCCAAAGAACTAGGGTTTCCGAGTCATTGTCATCGCCTACCCTACTTTCTCCATTACGCGCAAAGCTCGCGTTCTCATTTAACCATTTTCTCTTTTTCGACTACCCTTTTTCTCTAGCCGGCATTCGTTAAAATGTCCGGCCGTTCATACGGTGATTTGCCCATTCGAGGCGGCCGTGGTGGTGGTGATCGAAGTGGCTCCCGAGGCCGCGGCGATGGAGGCTCGAGTAGCCGTGGCAGTGACCGCGGTTATAGCGGAGATCGAGGTCGTGGCAGTGATCGTGGAGGTGGTCGTGGTGGACGTGGTTCGTCTGGCGTGCCCGAGGGGCCTAGCAGGTAAGTCTATTTGTTCTACGTCAGGAGAGAAGCACAACTAACATACGCATAGCATGTTGACCGACCCAGTTGAACCCCCGAGCTCCCGTGTTCAAGCCTTTGAAGACAGGTACGTCGCAGAGGCATCGAAGGCTCGGGAAGTCGTCAAGTCTTTGGCTCGGCGTCCTGGTTATGGCACCCAAGGTCGTGCGATTGTGCTCCGTGCTAACTTCTTCCCCATGGAATTCAAACCGGGCATCAAGTTCCACTCCTATCGACTCAAGATCAAGCCTGATGTGAAGAAAGGACAGCAAAAGTTCATCCTTGAGAGTATGCTCCGCAAGTATGCTCCATTCAAAAATATGGGCGTCGCCACTGATGGAGCCACTGAGGTTGTTACGACCGAGCTACTCCCCGATGATATACCGCCGTTCATGTGTTCCGCGAGCGATGGAAATGGAAGTGGAAGTGGAAGTTCCTATAACGGACCTTGGGCAGCCACTTTGAACCATGACAGCTCTTATTCCCCAGATGACATCCTTGCGGCCATTGAGAACGTCAACTGTCGAGAGGAAATTGACAATGAAGCTCCCAGTCTCCGAGTACTGAATATCCTTATGAGTGCTCATCCCTTCAAAGATGCTGGCATCTGCATCATCGGCAAGGGCCGAAATAAATTCTTCCGGATGGACCGTCGAAAGCAATCAATGGAGATGACGGATTCCGCGGAAGCCGCTCGTGGTTACTACTCAAGTGTACGAGTTTGTGCTGGACGAATCATGCTCAATTTGAATGTTAGTCACGGTGCATTCTTCGTTCCAGGTCCATTGAGTCGTCTAACAAACGAATTTGTCGACAATCACGGAAAGGATAGGGACCTTTTGCACCGGTGGGTGAGGGGCTTGAAAGTCTACGCCATGCATCTACGAACTCGTGAGAACGGAGCTGGTGTGCAGGAAAGACCTATCAAGTGCATTCTCGGACTTGCCACTCCTAGGGATGGACGCGGGAGCTCGAACCCGGTCCACCCCCCAATCGTTCCGCGTGTTGGATCTTCTCCCGCAAATGTGAAGTTTTGGATGGGAGATGACAAGAAGGGTGATTACATGAGTGTTGCCGATTACTTCAAAAAAAGTATGTTTGCTGCCTACCAGTTGATGTTCGAGATGCATTATACTAACAAGAAACAACAGCTTACAATATCACACTGAAATGGCCCGATAGTATGCCGGTTGTGAACGTTGGAACTCGAGAGCGTCCGATTTACCTTCCTATGGAGGTTTGCGAAGTCATCCCCGGGCAACCATACAAGCCCGAGCCATCGATGATCCAACGACAGAATATGATCAAGTTCAGTTGCCGACGACCTCCCCAGAACTATGACTCCATTATGAATGAGGGATTGGATATCATGGGAATCTCTGGAGGACATACCAAGGTGGTAGGGATCAAGCCCGGCAACGAAATGGTCACTGTCCCAGCACGGATTTTAAATGCCCCAAATCTGCTCTATGGCAGCAAAAAGACCGCCAGCCCTCGAAACGGCTCGTGGAATTTGATCAACACTAAGTTTGCCCAGGGAGCTCAGATTGGCAAATGGACCTGTCTTGTGATTCGGAAGAAAAATGTTAATGACGGTCTCGCAAATGCTGATGGCGCGATGGACGCTTTTTACAGGAAACTACGTGACCATGGCCTGTCGCTTCCAGCGCCCTCTAAGCCGTATGCATCGGTCCTTCTCGATAAAGATGAGAAGGAAAACCGGGAGATTCTCAAGGAGCCATTCAAGAAGTTCGCGGGAGTGTACCCCTTCGTGGTTGTTTTGCTTCCTAACACAGATGGCAAAATCTTCGATTTCGTCAAGTATGCTGGAGATATCAAGACTGGTGTCCTTACGCATTGCATGCAATCCTCAAAGTTCGCAAAAGCCAATGAACAGTATCTGAGCAACAACGCCATGAAGGTAAATCTCAAGATGGGAGGATGCAATCAACTACTGCAGCCGTCGAATGCACGCTTCATTGGCACCGGGAAGAATACCATGGTCGTCGGTTTGGATGTTACTCATCCCTCGAGCGTGGACCCAGAAGTCTTCCCCAGTGTTGCTGCCATCGTTGCCTCTACTGATTATCGCATGGGACAATGGCCTGGCGAGGTTCGGGCGCAGACACGCCGCCAGGAGCACATTGAATTCCTCATGGAGATGATGGTGACCCGGCTGAGATTGTGGAAAGATACCAACAATGGCAACCTTCCTCAAAACATTCTCGTGTACCGTGACGGTGTTAGCGATGGTCAATTCAATATGGTTCTCGCAGAGGAACTCCCAAAGATCCAGGCTGCTGCTAAAACCATATACCGTGGAAGCATGCCCAACATCACTATCGTGGTCTGTGGAAAGCGGCACAATGTGCGCTTCTACCCTACTAATTCCAGGGACCAAGACAAAACATCCAACCCAATCAATGGCACTGTCGTCGACCGCGGAGTCACTCGTCCTATTTATTGGGACTTCTATCTGCAGGCCCAGGCTCCTCTTCAGGGTTCTGCTCGACCAGCTCACTACATTGTTATCCATGATGAGATTTTCACAAACTCGAAGGTCAATACGGACCGCAAGCCAGCTGACGTACTGCAGGAAATTACCCACAACATTTGTTACATGATGGGCCGCGCTACTCGCTCGATCAGTTACAGCACACCTGCCTTCCTGGCCGATAAATTCTGTGACCGTGCCCGGAAATATCTGCTGGCTCACTACCATAATAATAATGAGAATATCGGCAAAATGGAGGAGTTCCAAGGTGCTACCCTAGCTATGGCGCGCGCATGCCAGAACAACATGGTCTACATCTAAGTTGACCATTGTCATTTTCTATTCTCTTGTTGATATTTGACGATACCGATGTTTTTTTTTTCCCGGGATCTGGAGCTTGATACCCTTTTGCTATGTTCCATTGTCCTTGGGATTGTTTTTGAGCTTTGGCTGCAACGACTTGTACTGTTAGCCTGAAAGATTGCTCAGGCGAAAGCCCTGAAAAACCACAAAACCAAAAAAAAGGGTTTAATGTCCTTGCTTTTCTTACAAGCTTGAGGTATACCCATGTTGCAGCAAGTGTGGAAAATTGAAAAACACCAAAAAAAAGAGATTGACGTGCATGAAAGTGCATTTGATTTAATTGTTATGTTGCTCTTGGAACACACTTGCATTACAGCATGAAAAATACAAAAAACCAAAAAAAAGGGGATGATATGTTAGAGTAGAAAAATTGAAAATATTAAAAAAAAATCCTGTTTCTGTGTAGCCTCTAGACTTATTGATAGTAGTTGCAACCGAGAAGATCCAAGTGGATGGTAAGGTTGAGTGGAAAATGCTGGATAATGAAGAAGCATATTATACAAGTGCCAATCTATATGACTCTGATTATTTTAAACCTCAACACGGTTTGGGCAACACCTTTCATGACCTCTTTAAGGTTGAACACAGTGCGCAGGAACCTCTATCCTCATACACCAAGGAGCGCGGGTGGAGTTCAAAGCTCTTGGGCATGAGATGGTCTCGATACCATCTATGTCCCGGGCTTCCTCGCAAGATGTTTCTGCTGATAAATTGACCAATGGCATAGAGCGACAGCCTTCTCTACCGTCCGGCAAATATCTCTGAGAGTCAAGCTTATATAGCATTGCGAAGAAATGACCAAATAAGCAAATATAACCTTTCACCGCTTGGAACTAGGAGACCACGCTTCAGGCTGCCACTCCTCGCCTGGGTTGGCCTTGTTCGCCTTTGCCCATGGGTTCTCCTCCTTTAGTGTCTTCGGGTATGCAGGTTCGGGTTTGGCCTTGGGGGTTGTGGCTGAAGCCGGCGCTTGTGAGGGGCCAGCGTTGGCGGGCTGATTCAAAGTCGCCTCGTTGATTTGGGTCGATGGTGCTTCATGTTGAGTCTTAGGCTTATCGAGGAAGGAGGCCTTGCTGGCCCAGCGTTCATCGGCGAGTCGGGCGAGTTGTTTGATTTGCGCCTGTCGCACAAGATCCTGCTGCTGCTCCTGGATGCTCGGGGGATCTTTTCGAACGTGTCGCAACCATTGATGCCATTGCGCTGGGTTGAAATAACATGTTAGTTATGATTCAATAGTCTCATTTCCCTTTGCCACGGAATAGGCGCATCTCCAAGACCGAGCCTGCATCTTTGCTGCGATAGAACTCACGCGTTACTTGGACATCACTGAAATGAGTTTTAGGATCGAATCGAACAATCCGCCGGTACCGAGCTGCATTCATCACATCTTTGAACTCCCAGAAGGTATTTCCGTTCAGATCCTCACCTGAGACACGGTTAGCGGTAGACGCCACAAGAAAAGCAGAAAGCAGATACTGACCGACCAAGAAGGACTTTCGCCAGGGCAGGCGAAGCTTTTTCCATTTGAACCATAAGCTGTTAACCATTGTTGAGTGTGAGAATAGAAATGAGGCAAAAAAAAAAAAGAGATTGAGGCGGACTATCAGGAACGTCATCGGGGATAAACACAGCCCGGACATTCCACCTTCTCTTCATATCTCTCAGCCTTTCTCTCCCCTTTTTCATAATTTCTACAACTTTACTAGAAAACTTCTGCACTTCCACTAATTGAAACATTTTCTTCATTTTGTCATTTCCAATTGTATCACGGAACGCCCTCCTCTGCTACCCAACACGCGCCACCATTAGGGCCGATCAGGCACCCGCAAAGGGATACATACCACCCCAAGTGGCAACAACAGTTCTACTACACTTCACACAAACTCCGATCGAGCATAGACCATCCAACACTCATTATGGCTTCTGTGACTTCGTTGGACAAGGATTTGCGCAATATGCGCCTATCCCGCTATACCCCGCAGGCCGCCGCGGAGGTGCGCGACTGGATTGAGGAAATGCTGCATGAGAAACTGGCATCGTCAGACTTGCTAGAAGGCCTGAAAGATGGCGTTGCGCTTTGCAAGTGAGTTATATCTATGGTTCCAAAGTACAATCAATGGATGTTGACCCCTGGCTAACTCCTTTAATCAAGGTTGGTAAACCTTGTTGTGTCACCAGGCGTGAAGTATAAGCAGTTGTCCGCGCCATTTGTACAGATGGAGAATATTTCGCATTTCTTACGCGCATGCCAATTGCCACCACTCAATCTTCCCCCGCACGATGTCTTCCTGACAGTTGATCTATATGAAGCAAAGGATCCGGCCCAGGTACTCCAGTGTCTGGCAGCATTTAGTCGACAGGCCAATGCCCTTGCGCCCAACAAGTTCCCCCGAACTGTTGGTCCACAGAGTAAGCGCGGTGTGGTCAGCCCAAATGCGACGGGTTCCTCGAGCAACGGAGCATTCACACCCCGGTCAACCCGATCCTCTAGTAATGTCGGGGATGCAAAAGGCCCCGCCCTTCCCTCTCGAACAGGCAGCCCTACAAAATCTTCCGGGTCATACAGTACTTGGGCTAAGAAGGGAGATGAGCAGGCTACTACACCGGCTTGGAACATTCATCAATATGGCTACATTGGGGGAGCTAGCCAAGGAAATCAAGGAATTGCATTTGGTGCTCGCCGACAGATCACCACACCTGGACCTGCTGTACCAAGTCTTGCGGAGAAAGAGAAGCGCAGGCGGGAAGAGGATGAACGGATCCGTCAACAGAACGCAGAGAAGGAAGAAGCAGAACGGGAACTCAAGCGACAGGTGGAAGAAGTGGAGGCTCATGCTAAGGCAGAAGAGGAGCGTCGATGGGAAGAAGAGACTGCCCGTGTAAGGGAACAAGAACGTCTCAAGGTAGAAGCAGAGAAGAAGCGCTGGGACGATGAAAAGCGACAATGGGAAGCGGAAGAGCAGCGACGTGTAGCGGAAGAAAAGGAAGCCGAGGAGCGGTTTGAACAGGAACGTCAAAAGAGACGAAGCCTGAATGATAGCCGGCTCAACGGTCAGTTCCTGAGCCAATACCAGGCCTCCAACTCCCAGGTTAGTGACACCGCCGGCGGAACCAAGCCGGTCGAGGAAACAGCCCAAAGCCGCCGCATCAAAGAGCTCGAGCGCGAGCTACAGCTGGCAAAGGAGCGAGAGCGCCAGTATGAGACCGAACGCCAGGAAGCCCAGCCTGGAAAGGCTGGTGCTCAGTCTCAGCCTCGCAGTCAAAGTCGCCCTCGTCCTGTGCCCCCCAAACCCAGCTACGATCTTTCTTCCCTCGAACAAGAACGACGACTCCTCCGTACGGAGTGGCAAAACACGCAGGATATGTCCACTACTTCCGAGGCAGAGGAACCAGCACCCGCTGAGGAGCAAGCTCCACCCCAGCCTCCTCGTCCCCTCCCGGTACCAAAGCCATCATCTTTCTCCGCAACGCCGGCACTCCCTCCCAGGGACCTACCCGCCGCGCCCCGGCCCCTCCCAGACCCAGTAGCTTACAACGCCGGCCGGGGCCGCGAAAACCGCGTGGACAATTTCCTCTCCTCAAACCCAGCACCCACATCCCCAGCCCCAGCCACTCACCGATTCCAGGACTACACCACAACCTCCGAAGTCGATGCCGAGAACAGCCGCCGCGCAGCTTCACAGCAGAAGACTAAAGCCGGCGGCTGGGCGTCCAAGTCTCTCCTGGAACGGGAGATGGAGCGCGAACGCGCGCGCCAGGAGGAGTGGGCAGAGAACCAAAAACAGACGGCGGCGGCGGCTGAACGTGGCGCCCGAGATGGCACCCAAGGCTCAGGACCGGGCCAGTCCTGGGATGTTCATCAGTATGGCTATATGGGTGGCGATAATCAGAACCGTGGCGGTACTGGCCTTGGTGTTGGCGGTGCTAGACGCCAGATTATTGGGCCCCGGCCGCCGCGGTAAGCTGTTGGCTTATGTCGACATCTTCTGAGCCTATTCAACCTAGGGGTTCTCGTTTCTTTGGTTTCTTGTCCCTTTTATCTCTTTTCTATTTCCCCCCGTACTTTTTATTTTGAGCTCTATTCCCCCGTATTCTGTGGGTGGATATCATCATTGAAGCAGAAGACATTATCGTATTTTTGTGTCGGTGCATTATTCTATTATTTGCGTGCTATGATTCCCGCTCCAGCTTTGTTTTCGATGCGATGTGGTTGTAGATAGCAACTCTTATACTCAAGATTCTATATTACACATTCTAGAAAATATCGATTTTTAGAAGTTGATTACACATCTGTAGGATAGTCGTTACACGGTAAGTGAAAAGAATTGACATTTAATAGACATCACAGGTACTCCCTGGTCCCTAAGTATATGTGACAACCATTATATACAAACCGAAGAAAAGCAAAGGGCATGCAAACGCTCCATAAACGCCCGAAATATGACCATTAAGTATCATTACCATCATAAACATCATAATCACAACACCAGTCTTCCATGATCCCACAGAAAAGCTTCATGGTAAGATATGATCAACCATAAACCTCATCCTAAACCCGCTCTCCTGCAAGTAAGACCATCCAATCGAGTCCCGATCACGACTAGCCTGCTCACGTCGCGCAATCCCAGACCGAACAGCTTTCACTAGTGACGGGGTCACAGAGAGCATATTGCTCTTATGCAGGAGTGTCATCAATGCCTCAAGCAGAATGGAGACCTTTGCGTTGTTCTCAACACTCGCCGTAGCCGCCGCATAGGGGAGGAAGCATTCCTCCAGCTTGGCCTGGGTAAGGTAGTTGTTGTCGGAGCTTGGGGCGGAGCTTTCGCGGAAGACGAAGAGGAGCAGTTCGCAGAGAGTAGAGTGTGCTTCGGGTAGGAGATGGGGGAGGTTGGAGGGGGTGATAAAGTGTTGGAAGAGTGGGAGGGAGAGGTCGCGGATGTTCTCGACGAACATGTCGTAGAGGTTGTCCAGAGGCAAGAAGTCCCGGGGTAGTCTTTCCGAGACGCTGGAGAGGATGCCGAGGAGTTGTTGGCGGAGGGCGAGGGAGGTGTAGCCGCCTAGCGGGGATATATTACTGTGAGAGGGTTTTTGGCTTCCTTTGGCCATCTTGACGGGGTCTGTAGCTTCGTCCATTGCGTTTCGCGTTCCTCGTCGTGTTCGCTTGCTACGTCGTTGCTTCCGGGCTTTTGATCCCTTGGCTGGCGGCGATACAGAGGTTGAGCTGTTATCACCTTCGAAATCCTCGTCCGAATTGTCCAGGTAGTCGCCATAGTTATCTTTGTCGAGGTTGATATCACCTGCCCTCTTCTTGATATTACGAGAGTCTTGTTCGGGAACAGGAATCTTCAGTTCATCGTTGAATACCTCCTTGAACTCGCCGAGATTTGATTTGCCATTGGCAAAGATTGCACGCATGATTCTGCGGTTCCGCCCGGCTGTAGTATTTGAGGCGATGTAACGGAATATCAGGCTTTCTCGGAAAATCCCAAGATCATCAAACACATGCACTACATCTTCCTTAGGCTTTTTGCCGCTGCGTGTTTCTTTCTCGGCTGGTTCAGCGCCCTGTGAGGCCTCCCCCTCCGACTTCACCGGCATCTCTGACAAAACTGGGATATCCACCTGGTTTTGTTTCGCCTCGAGGTATTTCTTTTCGCGCTCTTTCCAGTCATCTTCGAGCACGTTGCACATAAACTGGAGCCATATCTGCCAGCGCTCCCACCGGGCCGGGTGAATTACCGAACAATTAAATGCCCAGCCGACTGCATGCCAGAAGTCCTCTGCACAGTTCCACAACGAAGAAGCTTGGTTGAATTTCGTATTCAGGGGCCTGGTATCAGGGTTGTCATGCTCAATGAGCATCGGGCTCTCCGCACGCCGCCTATGTCGCGAAGATGCTAACTGGGAGAAGTTGAAAGCGAGACCAAACTTTGCATCAATGGGACCAACAAGGGAGTTCGTTAGTCGAAGAAATCGCAAAGCTGCATTGGGTGCTTCTTTTTCGTACTCCGACTCAGCGCGTGTTGTCGTTCTTGGGTGTACGAGCATCGTAGCTGCGACGGCTAAATGTTGCGGCAGTGGGATCACTGCTTTTGTTGATGAGATAGTACCCGATGCGAGGACATTAAAGAGAAGACTATAAGCTTGCGGCCCTAATTTGAGAAAGCGGGATTATTAGCGTCTGTTTGAGGGTTTCCACGCGTCAAAGGAACATACATAGTGAGTCTTCGAGGAAAATTTCTGTTTGTCGAGCCAACTCCCATTGAAGGGGTACGGGTGACCGATACGGTACCTCGTCTATGCTCTCCATAGTTGGCATGGCCAGAGGGGGGTTTTTGAAAAGCCAACTGAAAAGATACATTTTGAGCTGGCAGTAACGCGCTTATCGATAAGGGATTGGTGGAGAATGGCGTATATGTCCGGCAGAACAGTAGGCAGTTGGATACTGATATGTGACATTATTGAAGAGCACAAGAAAAGGTATCCAAGGCTTCAGAAATAGGTCAGGATAATACCGTAGTCAACAGACTAAGAGAGGTCTTGATAATCAATTCTATAAAAAGATTGAACCTCTTTGTTGAGAGAGCGGAAACAAAGGCGGTGGAAAGTATACAAACAATGAACTTAGCTATTTCTTGTTGCAAGGATATAGGGCACAGATTGACAAGGAATTGACGAGGTTAATACATGATAAGTTATGTAGTGGGCGTCATTCAAGTACTAAGCTGTTCGTTTTGGTGCAAGTCCGAAATCCAAAGCTCAGGGGAGATAAATACCCCTGTAGATTTCAATAACATAGAAAAAGCAAGGGACATCTATTAATATATTCTTTAATTTGTAGCTAATTCTTCTAGATATAGCACTACCAAAGGAATGAAATATATAGAAAGGATTCTTGGGAAATATCGGAAGACATGTGGAAAAACTACTCCAAAGAGTACCAACAAAATCCAAACAAGGCGACATACGCGCGATTATTCTTGTATATCGTTTTAATATGTACCAATTGAATATTCGAGGGCTAGAGAGTGATACATATTCTTAATTCTATTCAAAGTCTAGCCATGCAATAAGCCCCCGCATGGGCCCCAGCCAAGAGATTGACCTGCATTACGCGATAAAAGCTCTAGGCACAGATTCTTTTTTTATGTGCATAGATTTACATTGACCCTTACATTAAACAGCCCAAGTTTCCAAGGAGAGAGCAGAAACCCGAAAAATGGCAGCTTCAAAGGTAAAAATGCAAGGCTTGGATACTTGGAAATCTAGACAAGGATAAACTGCCTAGGGTAGACCGAAAAGATGGAAATTTGGACTGGTTCGCAGTAAATTCTGCGTCTTCATATTTGCTGACGAAGAAAAGAGAAACAGGATGCGCAGTGGCCAAGAACGGTTCAAATCCCCGTCAATCAATTTCGCAATGCAAAGGCCTTTTATGGAGAAAAGGAGGGGACGAGGAAAGCTCGGGAAATCAAGGAGGCCGTGGATACGCCAACATGGATAACAATTGGACGGGGAAAAAAAAAAGAAAGATTAAATGGGAGCCACTATGACTCCTCGGGTATATCGGAGAAGAGGCCTATTCGCAACCGATGCGACTGTAATCAAAAAAAATTAGCGAATAAGCTTAGTCTGGTTCTGGGGAGATCAACATACGAAAGGCAGCTTGGGAATGACCACTCCCAATGTGGCCAGGAAATTGATGGTGAAGTGGGTCAAGTCGAAATGGGTGTAATGAGTGCTGAGGAGGAAGAGCACGATAGGCACGCAGAGCAAGAACTTCTTAGCGGGTGTGTACTGGTCGCCGTTGTCGATCTGCTCCCACATGTTGAGATTGTCGTAGGCACCGGCATTAAACTCGAACGGAATGCCCCGCACCCAGTGGAACATGAGGAAGGATCCGAACATGTAACTGATATTGGTGAGGGTCCATGAAGTTTCCTGCGAAACGCCGGGAATAATGTCGTAGAAAATCTTAAGAGCGGCGATGCACACGAAATGAATAGTCCAGGCACCTAAATCAAAGCAAAATTCCATGTTAGTCCTTGATCTCTGTATCTGATATGTGGTCTCCAGGATCAGCTTTTTTTTGTCACTCACCCTTGGCATTCACCCAGTTTGCATTCAGATTTGGCAATGCAGCTTGATCACTGGTATGCTCAATAGATTCAGCTGGTTCCTGGTAGATAAGACTGCTGGACCGCCTCCGGCGGCCGTGTTTTGAGGTCATGCTTGGAGATAACCGCTGCGGCCCTGTGTCAACATCCGGAGGGAAGGAGATGCCACGAGGGGTCAGCAAAGAAGACACCTTTGAATTGTCGGTCGCCAGCTTGACGGTTGAATCCAAAAGGAAAAAGAATAAGTTGGATGGAGAGAAGGAGAGAAGAATGAAAAGGAGCGTGGGGATGAGGTGGCACGGCCCAGACTGGAGTTTGCCGGTTGGATCGGCTTGCGGTCACGGGGTGCGGAAGAGCTCTCTGATTCACGTCTTTTTTTTTTACCTTTTTAAGTCTATTATTTTTTTTTTCTATTCTGTTAGAGCGTCTATAATTAGATTAAAATTTTCATCTATTTCCTACCCTATTAGATTGGCGTAGAACTAAATGCATAATTGGCTATGTAGAAAACATATGCATGTGCGGAATCTAGCCCGAAAGGACTAAAACTATACATGTACTTTATATTAAGGGTAAAGGGGAAGCTTCCTGAGCTAAATATATCATTGATATTCCTTTTATGTCTGTTATGAGTTTTGTAAATAATCCCTTATCGTTGATATTTCCTTTTATGGGGCAAATATGTCCGAGACATCCATGGATGCCTACAGAAATAGGCTAAATATGGGCTTTTGGCCACCTTAGCTTAGCTATGACTCCAAAATGACTCTTCTCTATTTCCTGATTAAATGGCCTGATTGAAGTGTCCCATGATATTATAGTGTTCATACCGGAGACAGCAATATTAGGCAGAGTAAATATTAGTAGTCCCCTGGTTATACATAGAAAGGTCCCCTGTATAGTTTAGCCTTTTTACCCTTGATATACATTTAGAAAAACTTCTTTAGAAGACGTCGAGAAATATCTGAAAACACCATCTAGAAACTTGAACAAAAAAAAAAAAAAAGCTTGACAAGGCCATGTAAACGGTTCACCATTCTTGTACAATTATACCTTTATTCCTCAGGACCATATATTTTTGCTTGATAGGAAGTCCCAATACCATTATAGACCAACTAGCGGATAGTTAAGGATATCCTCTGAACGAAAAGGCTGCAGATACATTAGTCTGCCGCGTCTAAAGCACGTCCTTCTTCAGGCCAAGCCACCGGGTCTTTCCGTTCGTACTCCGTATTAATGGTTTTAATCCAGCCCAGTGATAAAACTTTGATCATAATCAATAGACAAAATCGTTTGTAGTACTTGGGTGGTATACACTGTGGTAGTTGATGGGAGAACTATTGGCTAATCATTAGGGGATTGTTGCGCTTTAGTGTAGCCTTGTCTGCTCTCGGCAAAGAAGAATAGATGGGTCTCCGGTTCGTCTCCTGATAGTTAGTATTAGATAGGTCTCCAACACCATCCTATCAAGTTTGAGTAATCAACTCGCAGCTAATGTGGCAAACAAGAGTGCCCTTAAATTGATGGATCTAGGAAAACACATTGGATGACCGCGGTCGTGGGCCTCCAACCCGGTTGGAATGGTTAACGGTGCTTTAAATATTCAACCTAATGATCTATAAGATCTATAATAACATGGCCTCGGCACTCAGGGCTACAAAGACGGCATCAACCCCACTCTTGGCGTCGATCTCCTCGATTTGTTATATTCCACGGGTAGATCTTACGCCAAAGACAACGCCTAGTCTGAAGAATGTTTAATGACATTTTGAAGTTGGAATTTTCAATATTAATCTATCAATAGGGGTAGATAAAATCTATAGATGATGTTGAGTGTTGCCCAGGGACCAAAGGGGCTTACTATTATGGCTGTCTCCAGGGCTGCTGTCTATATCATGTTGATATTGATTAACCAACGTATTGGCTTGATCTATATTTCTGCCTTTCACAAGTGCATGCTTTTAATAAGTACATCTGCATGCATTTTCAGCTCATGGATTGTCTGTTTGTTGCTCTCCAGGGCTAGCATACATTGATGTATAAGCCAACAACGTCTCCAAGTGCTCTCTGTAACAATTTAGTGAGACAAACTACCTTCAAAAACAGAATAGCTGTACACTTCTCTCTCAGCATTAAAGAAAGAAAGTATACAGAATCAAATAAGAACTAAAACAAGTGACTCTATGCCTTATCGCCTCAAATATCTTTGACGTATAGTTCAAATTCGGAAATGCGCGAGTGGTCGATATCGTCTACCGTGAAATTTTCTGGGTATCCAAATTCGACTGTTGATCCTTCCAGACTCTCACTCGATCTGGATTGTATCCTTTTATTCGAACTTCTCACAATTAATAATGGCAAATTCGTCAGACGAAGAGGCTGACTCACGTACAGCCCTGGTGGGCGCACCGCGCACTCGATCGAACCCGCGTTCCACCTCGCGCTCCGCATCGCACGACAGCACCCGCCCGGCCAAGCGACAACGTCGCAACAGAAATAAGAAGGACTCGGATCTAGCTGACTTTGTTCCCAAAGGTGTTGCATTTACTGCCACCTCATTGCCAGTGGACCCAGACAGCACATCTAGTTCTGGATCTAGTTCATCATCAAGCGAAGATTCCGATTCCGACTCTGACGCGGACCCAACCATTACCGCAAACCCACACGCTGGCAACACTGCGCCTGCAATTAGCTGGAACCAAGGTCGGAAGGCTGCAGTGCGCACAACTCTTGGGAAACGATCAGCGCCAACAAACGAGAATCCTACCCAATTTGAAGCGGTGAATGACAAATATTGGCGCAGTCGCAGTGAATCTGTCGCATCGGTCAATGGTGAAGAGAAGCCCACAGTAAACGATCATTCTGAAAATGACGACGAACTGGAAGATGGGGAAATCGACTCCAAGAGCGACACAGATGATTCAGATCTGGGTTCTGAGGCCGACGACTCTATCCTGCTGAACATAGGGGATAAGATGGGAATGGATGGTGCCAATGACTACGACCCTGCGACCCTGGCTCATCAGCATGCTTCTAACACTGGAAACCCAAATCTGAAAAGCGCATCTATACAATCCGGACCTGGATCGAAAGAGGAGGCGTTCCGGATTTTCTCAATCAAGTATCCAAGTGCTCCTACTGCTTTGGTGGACCTAAGCCAGACAGACCTTGAGAGCCTGGCCAAATACGTGTATTTTGATCGCAGCATTCATGATTTGGACCTCAGACTTCCTATCTCTTGCCTCGAGTGTCAAAGTGAGGGCCACATGGCCGACGTTTGCCCAGCAAAAGAGGTTTGTTCTATCTTGAATCCAGTTACTTTATTTCCACCTTATTAACCTCAATATAAAGTGTGAACACTGCGGTGCCTGGAATCAGCATCAAAGCAATACTTGTCCCGACTGGCGACGATGCCAAAGATGCCGCGAACGTGGCCACGACGAGCCACAGTGCGACTCAAAGCTACGCAGTTTCGCATACGAAGTGCCCTGTGACTTCTGTGGCGATGAGCACCTGGAATCCGAATGCGATTTTCTATGGAAGTTCCCGACAAGAGATCTCCACTCTGAACAAGTCACAGTATCAATCTGCTGTGCGAACTGCTGCAGTGCGAAACATCTTGTAGCAGACTGCCCAGCTGGTAACTTGCGCACATCAAATACCTCGTCATTTACCCTGAAGGGCATCAACCCAGATATGATTACGAACCTCAACACAGTCGTCCCGGCGCGAGAGAGCCACCCACCAAGCCGGAGTCAATCCCGCGGAAGAGCCAGAGAATGGTCTCGACCTCCCTCTCCAGACGACGATGATGATATGCTGTCCCGAGTATCGCGAGGCCGAGGACGCCCCGTCCCTGCTCCTCGTGGCAATACTCGTGGCAGTATCAGGTTCGCAATCGGACCTAACCGTGGCGATGCGCCATCCAGAGGACCTTCCCGAGGTCGTTCTACGTTCTCTGGAAACAACAATCGCCCGCGTTCACCAAATCCACCCCTTCCACGGGGTCCTCCGCCAAGAGGGGGTGGCCGGGGCCGTGGACCACAGCGAGGAGGATTCTCACGTGGTCCACGTGGCGGCGGCAGAGGCCGCGGGTGGTAAGCGGAGCTTACTACCCGGTGAGAAGTGAGAAGGAATATCGGCGAACACCGCCATGTACATAGCACAGTGTCCTACCATTCCGCTCAGTCTCAACTGAGCATGTATGTACGATTAAATGACACTTCTTTCTAACATCTCTCACTTCAAGTATGTTTCTCACATCGTACGTAGTACAAGCCCATGCTGCCCCAGACGGACTGGACTGTCTAGCATATCCCTTGAAGCGCCAGCTTCTAACTAGATCCCATCCTAAGATGACGCAGCACCATAATCCCATCATGCTCCATGCTCATCATTCTCTCTAGTCCCTACAAATCCCCCCTCCAAGATACCGATCAGATCATCCAGCCGCTTAATACAAAGATCGGTGTGCGGATGTTCCTTCAAATGCACATTCAGATCATTCAAAAGCAACACCGTCGCAGCACCAGCCATATGTCCAGCCGTCATATCATCAATGCTATCACCAACCATGATCAGATTCTCACCATTAGCAAGACCCCATTCACTTGCAATATGCAGAATTCCCGCAGGATCCGGCTTGGGCAGGAGATTGGGCGTGTCCCGCGTGATGATCGGTAGGAAGATATGGCCATCAAGATGGTTATTAATCAGGTTCTGAACTGGTGCTCTGAGAGATGTGTATATGTTAGCGCTCCGTGTATACATTACACAACAGGAATGAATATGGTCATGTCCTGGTTGCATTAATTGCTCGTAGAACGTACTCGAAGTTCCTTGTGCAGAGCGCCCGTCGTAAGCCGCGGGATTTGAGGTATTCCATTAGGCGGACCAGGCCGGGCTGCGGCTGCTGGTCGGCCATGGCTCGGCGCTCTACGGCTTGCACTTTCGATACGGCTGTGGCCTGTTCTCCAACTGGGAGTTCGCGGATGTGCTGGAGGATATCGATGGAGCGGTCGATTCCTAGTGCTTCTCTATAGTTACGATTTTGTTAGAGAGGGTTCCAAACGGCTGTATCTTGGATAGCTAGTATAGCTTGTAGGTATTAGACTATACCTCATTTCGCTGAACATGTGGTGCTGTGGCAAACTAATTAAGATTAGCAAAATTCAGCCAATATAGGTTTGACCTGATAACTTGATCAAAATGCACGGTATCATGAATCTATAAGCATGCTCAATTTCCTCATAGAGCCAATCCAGGAACCTCTCAGGCTATTCAGAGAAGCACTGTTAAAGCCAGTCATCTGAGACAAGGTATACTTTCCCGAATAGGAAAGTAAATTTCTGCCTGAATCTCAAATTGATGCCTTGGTCATCATTTCCTGCCCACTTCCAAATATAGCCAAGATATATGTATCAATTCTCCGGGATGCATGGAGCAAAGCCAATACGCAACAGACAAAAGGAGATAAAGCATATGATTCTTATACAGCATCAGAAAGGAAAAAAATGACTCACCACAAAGTTCCATCCACATCAAACACAATCCCCTTCAGGGGAGGGGCAGTCGACGTCTCGGAAGAACCGAGAGGTGCGAACTTCCGCGGACGAAGATGTTTGCAGGCAATAGCAGACATGATGGAACGAGCAACGTGTATGGACATTAGAGAGAGGAAACCTGGAGGTTGAAAGAGGTGGAGTTAGCCAAGTGGAGCCGCGGGAACGATCTATAAAGTTCCTACAGTTCCAAGGTTCTAACCTGAAGGTTCCGAGAAAAGAGTTGAGTTTATTTCTTTTTGATATTCCGACCTCCGGAGGTTCCAAAGCTCCTTCCAACCTTCTTCATCGTTCTTTCCACTCTTTTTCAAGCTTCCTACTTTTCTGCTTGACCAAAATGAACTTCAACATCACCCCTCTCCTAAGTCCCCTCTCACCCCATACATCATGGATCACAAACATTTCGCAACGACAAGGGTTTTCCCTATGAACTTCTCAAAAACAATGCATCTAATCGGTATCCTCTCCTGGTTGCAACTGCTATACGCATTTTCCTACTGCGTAGGACCATTTTGGAGCACACGGCGCGAGTTTCCACCCTTCATCACAACGATCGACCGCATAGAAACAAAATTCCTGAACACCATTTTCGGTGCGCCCCCACTCTCAGCCTATGATTCTGCACCGAATGTAGAGAGCCAGAGAGGGAATGGCCTCCTGAATCGGGAAAACAACAACATCCGCACCACCGCACAACCCAATCCCAATTTGTTATCCAGCTCAACCTGGCCACAGCAGGGACATCAAAACTTGGACTCCTCATCAGAGCAAGAAAGTCCCACATTGTATCAGGGCAACGACGGAGAAAACTTCCCTATCCATGGAACCCTGCGCAGGGTTCGATTCAGCACACGGGGTAGCATCTCAAAGCTAGCTACCTCGGCAAAAGCCATCTTCCGCCAGCCGCTGAACACCACCCAACGGAATCCAGAAGGCTTGTCTTTCGACGAGGAACGAGCAGGGTCAGAGCTGGTTCCTGTTCCAGTGCGCACTTCGCAGCCTCGTTTTGTCGAGAACGTGCCTTTCCCCGCTCCCATGTCTGTTTCTGCGCGTATCGCAGATCACTTTAGTGACCCTGGACCGTCAACTGGAATTAAGGGGAAGCAGCCCGTCTCGTTTGGGGCGACCATTGCTGCGGGGGTTGATTCTGAGACTGTACAGATGGATCGTGCGCGCAAGTATCACTCTGTCGAGAGTTATCCGGGGAAGTTCCCTGTTAGTGATTCGTTGGATTATAGCTCGCTTGCTACCGCTTATGCTGTCAGAGGGAGGGGAACTACCTCTGTTCGGCCTTTCTCGGACTACTAGAGCTTTCTTTTGGTGATGTGGGCATTTTCCTTGGCATGGCCGGTTCCTGGGGATGAGATACCCATGACGATTGTGGTTGTAGTTTGATTGGATTCTTCGAATTGGTCTCCTCTATTTGCCTTTGCGATATGACATCAGAGGCAGTGTTGTACAGGCTTGGGGTTCTATTCTTCATTATATCCATTACTGAAGGTCTGGTCTGTTTCGTTATTCTTGTCAATGAGATATCTCTATATTTCATAGCATTGAATACCTTCTTTTGTAGGAATAGGTTCGAAAACACAAACTATACTATAACAGACTCAATCCATTGAGGGAGTACTTGGAGCCAATGCATGGCTTATGGCAGCCCATCAGCAAGCTGCCATCTGATCCGTAACAGACAACCCTGGAACCGAGGGCATATCTATTCTATTATTTATGCACTTGTGGGAGTATATCAGCAATATGCCACACTACCAGTCATCAGTCTCATCTCCCAGTTCTCCCCGGCTCATCACATAGATAAGCATCCAAAAGCCCCATATCACGCAGCAATGGAACCCCCTCGTTGCGTAGAAAACGAACACTGTCAACGCCGTTCCACTGGATATTTTTCTGGATCTTATCAATATACGACTGTCCAATCCCTTTCATGAATTCACCCTGCTCTCCGGAGGCCACAGCATCAATGAACTGCTCTGTGACAGACGTTGACGCCGACGTCGACGTTAACGCCGAGTCCGAGGGTATAGACCGACGAGGCTTCAATGAATAAGTTTCGACGTAATCCATTACCTCTCTATGCTGTGGGGAAACTTTCCATCGCTGCTCAGCTCGGAGGGTCACGCTACGCTTGAAACGTCCCTCCGAAAATAATTTGATCAGCTGTTCTAGTGCCCGATCTCCCCTCTTGCGCGAGGCGGATGAAAATTCATTGAAGTTAGTTACCGCAAAGAGCTGGCCGAATACCATGTCCTTTGCTGATGGTCCGACAGGATATCCTTCAAACATCGCTAGGCTATTGATGTCTGCGCCTGCATCAAGAAGTGCGCGCACGGCGACGAGATTGCGTACGGAAGCCGCCATGTGGAGTGGTGTCCAGCCCCGAGCGTCCCTTGCCTCCAGATGATGGCTTCCTGGGAATATATCCAGGAGAATCGAGTATGCCCGGGCATCCTCGTCGTTGTCTAGAATTGAGACGTCGCTGACAGCCCTATTGAGAGCGGATGCACGAAGAGTAGGTGCTACGAGGTATTCTGGTTTTTGATGGTGCTTTGCTGCCAGAGACAAAATGGAGTCGAGTTTTGCAGCTAAACTTATCTGAAATGATCTGTTCAGCGCGGATCCGAACACAGTAGACACGAAAATATGTGTCCCTTTACTGTGAGTAAGCCCGTTAAGATCTGCACCATGCTCCATAAGGAGATCTGCAAATTCCCATTGGCTCATCTCAAAAGCAGCCACCAGAGCCCCATTTTTTCCATTTGAAGTAATGGAGTGCAATCCTAGCTCTAGTGTCCTCCTCAAGAAATAGCTATTCCCGGGGGCAAATTTGACTGTGCTGACAAGGGTATGTTCAGCCATGGAATCTTGATATACACTTCCGCTAGCTTGCACGATAGAATCAAAGACGGCTGGTCTACCGGTAGCGATAGCCAAGTCAAACACAGTTTTGCCGTTGACTTGCGTATCTATGTTCCGCACAAAAGTATCGACGGTGGTGACATATTCTAGAATTCCCGGCATATCACTGCGAACGGCTAATTGAAGCACCGTCATTCCATCTTTGTCCACGGCAGTGGTTGCTCCGCGGCGAAGGAGTAATTGGATTGTTTTCTGTAGTTGGGAGCCATAACTGGACCCGTGCCTTGCCATTCGGAGATGCGTGTTCTGGCATTGAATTGCGAAGTATAATAGCCCAAGGCCAATTTCCGTGTCCGCATTGATTGGGTAAAACGGCGAAGCGTCAAGCAAAATCTCCAGGATCTCTGGGTCGTGCCATGTGCAGGCGAGCTGCACTGAGTCTAAATTCCAATGGCGCTGGTTATGAAAGATGACCGGACCTGAAGCATCTGAAACCGATGCACCATTTAGGATCAGTTCGCGTACTGCCACCTTATTTCCCTGCGAAACAGCTCGGAGCAATGCTGTACCATGTATCAAGGGGAACTGGAAGTCGTCTGCGTATAAGCGATTTTCTTTCGCAACTGCATTCGGATCCGCGCCGCTGTGAGTGAGTTGCGCGACGATCATAGGCAACGAGGCGTCGTCGAACATCCATACCCAGTGGATGGCCGTCTCTCCAAGTTTATTTCTTAGAGAGCAATCGGCCCCCCTCTCGATTAGAAGACAAGTGAGCTCAAGATTCCCTGCTCGGCACGCTGCTATCAATGGAAGATCGCCATCACTGTTGCGCTGGTTGATTTGAGATGCAGTCATATTGATCACATCCTCCTTGTCTCTCGTACCACTAGAGCCTGATATTGCAGGACTAGGCTCCATGTATTCGGCCGGGGACAGCCCGATAGCGGTATGAACTTGTGACAAGGATTGTTGTGCTGGCTTGTATTCGATTTTACCGCACTCTTTCAATATGGCAAGATAGCGAATTTGATCTTGTTCGACGCCGAAGCCCATACTATAGCATATTGCCTCTTCCATTAGTGCAGGTCCCCTTCTCGAACCGGTAGCCGAAGATCGTGCACGAGAAGAGATATCAGCGAAGAGTTGTACCTGTAGTGGGAACGGCAGGTGACAAGTAGTCAGAAGATGAAAGTCCAAACTGCGAGACTATTTCGTAATTAGCAACATATTGTTTTGTGATAGTCGGTTACTTACGGGCTCAAAGGATTGTGATGTTGTTTTTGGTATGATCTCCTCGTTCATCATTGCTACCGTGTCCGCGGCTGCTACCCCACCATCTAAGTCAAACAAGCCCTAATTGAACGGTTTAGTGGCAGCTGTACCTCTCAGTAATGGTGTACGTTACCTGTAGCGCACCGAATGATTCCTTTCTGGGGTCCGGGGCTCGTTGGAGCACCGCATTCTCCGATGCACCTGTCTTACCGATTTTGATCATTGCTTGGCTGAGGGCTGTGGTACAATGCTATCATCAACACTCAAGATTATTCCATTAAATGAGAAATACTTACGTTTCATAACAGAAAATGATCGAAAGAACCCCACAGATCTCGCCACCATCGCACCAGCGTCCTTATTTATCAAGAATACGGTGCGCAATATAGAATCCCAGACGCCTCGCGGGTCCTTCAGCGGGTCGTCGGATGTAAACAGAGAAGTAGGCGCAATGACTGGTAGTGGCTGGCCACATGTTCGGTATATGCCCTCGATCGCCACTAGCATATCCCTCATTGCTTCTGACATAGGCGATAGTCTGGAGAAGCCAAAGCCCATAAAGTTTGAGCCAAGCTTTCCGTGCTTGATGATTAAATGGTAGCACTGGTCTGCGTTCGGTGGTATGGACTTCCATTCGGCCAGACCGCGACTTGCTTGTGCGTGCCCCCTGAATCGTGCTGCTTCGAACTTGATGAACTCTCGCAACAGGTGTGCGTTTGGTGGACTGAGGCCAAATGCTCGTTTTTGGAAACTTCAGCTATTAAGATCAATGCTAAATTGACTTGTGTCAAGGTCAATGACTTACTTCTGGGGACAAGTAAGTATCTGAATTATGCGACCAAGGTCCCTTTCTGTGGCCTCACAGCTGAGAGCAATACGGAGCATCCCACCAAAGGCATCTCTGGTTTCGGGGGATAGTGCACGGTCAGGGTCAAATACTCGATTTAGTGCCAGGCTGAGGGTGGTCCCATTCCGTTTATCCTCTCGAATGAGAGTATATTTATAGCGTGCACCATCATCCGTCGTCGAAGATCGATACCGCGGGTCATTAAACGGGTCAGCTCCATCGATAATCACCCGCCATACCAAAAGTCCAAATGAGTAGGTGTCTGTGAATGGAAGATGGCCGCTCTGTATTTCAGCGTCTGCCTCCGGTGCGTCGTATGGGATAGTCACTCCCCTTAGCCTTGTGTACTGTCTTGGCTCAACCGCATCCATCATCATCGAGCAGCCAAAGTCTGTCAACTTTGCTATGCAATTTCGTCCTTGAAGTTTATTTGTTGGAAACATAAGGACATTCTCGCATTTTACATCTCCGTGGATAAACCCCTGACTATGAAGAGCTTGTAGGCCCTGCGCGACGTCCAGACAGTACTCCCAGTAGGGTCCGTCGACCATGCGAACAGGATCTTGGATGAAATCGAGCAGAGTGCCGAATGATGTCGCATCGAACATTAATGCCGGGAATAGACAACCGTCGCTACGACGCCCCTGTGTCTCAAACGAGATACCCTTCAACTGGTTAATATTAGCATGGGAACGAAGCCCCGGTGTTGCCAGCAATTTCAGCTCGTCGACAATCTGTGCCAGCATGCGCCGGTCGTCAAATCTGCCATCCTGGTCGAAATGAGGGTTGATGCGCTTATAGGCCATGACACTGCGATTTCCCCAGTGGCCTTTTGCGATCCTTCGCTGGACGGATGAGAACCCGCCAGCTCCCAGGGAAATGCTCACGGGCTGTTTTTGGCCCAATTCGTCAATCGGAAACTCCAGGATAATGCCTCCGTCATTCCGTAGTAGATCTTGGATTAAGAGAAACAATTCATAATGGCTTCCGCGTCTCTTCTCTGATTCGGTCACCTCAGTTGCCGAAGTTGAGTATCGAGTCCCGTACGCAGAGCGCGTGTCGATGTATGTGCTGGTTGCCATGTAGGGTAGACCAAAGGAGTGACTGGAGAAGGTGACAGGGGCCTGTATATAAATTTCATCAATTTTCCCAAGCAGCACAGCCTCAATTTTAAGCCGCGATCTGCTGCGGGGTAAAGGGCTTTATAGGGAAGTTTCTGTCCTTGACACATTCCGTGAATACGAGATGGATCCCGTGGGCGTCGGCCTGGGTACAGTAGCCCTTGTTTCCACCGTACTCGAAGTCTTTGGTCTGATCATCTCTTTTCGTACATACTCCGAAACGTCAAGGGTCCTATTCCGCCAGCTCGAACTGGAGAGGGAGGTGCTGCTGCGCTGGACAACAGAGGTTGGACTCTATCCTGCAAGCCATGGATCCTCTACAAATTGCAGTATCCCGCCAGAATTGCTGCCTTTGGTGCATCAAACTGTTGCTACCATCGGCTCTCTTCTTGCGGCGGCTACTTCGCCAAAGAGCGCAAAGAAGAAAACAGAGGTCGGGGCTGAAGACCTACCAGCAGTCCTTGACAGGCTCCAGGAGGAGCTCAAAACCAACGAAACCCAATCCCAATCGCGGCTGTCAAGATCCTTGGCACGCCTTGGATGGGCAATCAGCGAGGAGGACCGTCTTAAGGGGCTCATCACTACAATCCACGCTTACAACACCAGCCTGCACAATCTCATCCCAAAGCCACTCCAGGTTTCTCTTGACGGATCCATAATGCAGGCTCTACTTGTTGAAACCGACCTTCAAAGCCTCCTGGAAATTCAAAGAGCTAGTCTACACTGGCGAAAGGCCCTCTCCGCCGCAGCCAGTGTAGCTTCCTTCCAGCATCAGAAATCTACACCGGGTCCCCCATCTACCAACCAGCTTCTGCTACCTCGCTCACGGTTTACTTCCATTGGAATTGACATGGCGCGGTATCTAACGACGTACGAGCACAATGGCCAAATATCCCATGTCATGATTGAATGGCGTGCGTACAGGATTCCCCGAAACTCCGAACACAAGATCTCGTATCTAAATACATGTCTTGATCTCGCTCGCCTTCTCCATGAAAGCCAGAACCTCGAGGCATATCGAACGCTCGACTCCCTTGGGATTATCGACGATATTGAATTCAAGCCAAGCTCCCGCATCGGACTGGTATATCGCGTACCGCTAAGCATCATACCGCTGTCTGAGAGTTCAATTAAAGTGCTCACATTACATGACTTGATCAACGGCAAGGAGTTCATTAGACCGCGCCTCGATGAGCGCTTCGCACTCGCGCAGAAGCTTGCTACAGGCCTACACAGACTCTTCGTCTCGAGATGGTACCACAAGAACCTCCATTCCAAAAACATCCTGTTTTTTACGCAAATTAATGATGGCACTGGTATTGCACAACCTTACCTCTCTGGTTTCGACTACGCCCGTCCTGACTCCCCAGAGGAAATGACCATCAAGCCCGAAGCAGACGAATTCTGCGATCGATATCGCCATCCGCAGTGTACACACCCGGACAGTCGGAACGTAATCCGGTTCAGTCGGCGGTTCGATATTTACAGTCTTGGTGTTATACTCACTGAGATCGGGAGGTGGGAAACAGTTGATCGAATGCACAAGGACTATAGTTCTCAGAGGACCAAGGCTAAAGGAGGATTGCCCACTGCTGCTCCGTTAGATAGCTTCCAGCGGTACTTGAAGACGAGATCTTTGGAGTCCTTGGGCTTTCGGATGGGGCAAATTTATACTGATGCGGTGAGGTTTTGTTTGGGTGGCGTCGATGCGCATGGTGCTGTTGAGGCGGCTGTGCATGTGAGTGAGAATGAGGAGCAGCTGGTTTCGAGGCTCAATAAGGAGGTGGTGGCTGAGCTCGCGAAGTGTACTGCCTAGACGCTGTGGGTTAACTATGGCCATATAACCAATAGATTTTGCTCTCTGTCTGTAAAATCTCGGCCAAAAGAGTATTTGTTCAAGGAGTACGGAGTGCCTAATATGGTATTTGGATTGACTTCAACTAAACCTATCATTTCGATTCGACATGGTCAACATTCAGCGCGAACTCCTAGTGGGAGCTAGGCGGATCGAAAGCTAGTCAAGCTTGAAGGACAAGTGCTGTCTCCATCTAGTAAGCTCCTATTCTCCTTGACATATAAGTAACACAACCTGGAGATTATTTCACACCTTGAACTCGGAATATATTATGTCTTCCGCTGCACTATCTACACCACAACACAAAAGCTACAAAGAAGAGGATTAAATCCCAGCACGCTCACTAGATGCACGAAAGCAGCTGCATGCCCAAAAGCAAGGCCATGAAAAATAAGCAGAGAAACTTTGCGTAGAAAAAGCTAGGGAGGCGAAGAGAAGACATAACTTCCCGCTCATCCCAAGACCATTGACATAAACATGAAAGGCAGGAAATATGGTAGACATTCAAACACACACATTGCTCATAGATTTGGGGATAAAGGAACTGAAATTTGAATTCCAGTGAACGGTCATAACTGTCGTAAGGAGAAGGGGAAAAGGCAAAAGCGCTAGAGTGAAACGGAGATTGAAAACATCAACCTAGGGGTATCACGGTGCAAGTCTCAATATTGCTCGTCTTCATATTCGACTTGCGCGGGACTGCTTCGGTAGCGGGTTCGCTTGGCGTTGCCTGGGCTGTAAGAGCCGGCAGATGTGAGGGGACGCGGGCCAGTCGGCTTGCGTGTGGGAGGAGAGTAGATGGCAGAGTTCTGGAGAGTGTGCAGATCAGCATTTGGTCAAATGACACGACAGAAAGGGAGCCTCTGGAATACATACTCTGGAAACAACACGGTCGCCACTGTAAGCTGGTTCATCGTTATCCGCCACTTTGGGTGGGCGTTCAGGAATGAGAGGGCCCTCGTCCTTGACCTTGGGAGGACGGGGCGGGCCGGGTGTACGGTTTGCGCGGGAGCTGGTCTCCGAGTAGCCTGCGTCGGAGATCGGGGACAGACGCGTTGTGCCGCTGACACCGCTGTTGCGGTTTTGAGGAGGGTTGACCACGGGTAGACTGGGGTTAGATTCCCACTGTTCTGAGCCAGCAGGGGAAATCGGTCCTGCGTAGACCTGGGCCTCGGTTTCGAGGCGGGACTGGTAACGCCCAGTTGGGCCTTGTCGAGGCTGGGGGTGCTGCAGCTCGAGGCTACCACGGTGGCCGCGGTACTTGGGCACCTCGGATACTTGGGAAGGCACTAATGGCGAAGGGGGTCTGTTCTCATCTTGCTCTTCTTCCAGAGTATAAGTGGATCGGAGTCTGTCGTCCCCCTGGGGATCATAATATTCGCCCTTGTAGGGGCCAAGAGGGGCAAGATCAGACCCATACCGAGACTCGTCCGAGGTCGGACGTTCTTTGCGGGAAGGCTGGATGCTGTTTCGAATGCCGTCGCCCATGGAGGTGGCTGTGGACTTAGACCAGCGGGAGATTTTCGGGAAAATAGAGGAGCTGCTGGACTTGTGCTTGCGGGCCTTGGGGGTAGTCTCGGTGCTGCGAGCTGATGTGGCTACCGGCTTGCGGGGAGGCGTGTTAAGCGGCAATGAGCCCGATCGCTCGTGACGAGGCGCATCACGGACAGGGAGATGCGAGGTCATGAACTGGTCGCCATTGTCAAGCTCAACATCTTCATCAACTTCATGGACAGTGCTGACTCGCTGATCCGAATCTCTGCGCTGTCCATTGGCCGGGCGAGACGGACTAGACCCGTAGGGAGAGCGGCTCGTCTCGACAGGTACTCCACTTGGACCGGCATTATCGTACCCACTTGGCTCCACGCTTCCCATTCTGGTGCCACCGTAAGGGCTCAAGCCATCTTGTCCAGATCGCAGGGCCTCAACCTCACCAAGCAGCTGCTCGAGCATGCCTTCAATCTTAGTCAAATCATTGCCTGACTTAAGACTCAACCCCTTCAGCGCACGCTTGAAGATGCTCTTCCGCTTGTCTTCCTCGTCAGTCGTGTTCAGCTGCCGATTCCGAGAAGCGCTGGGGGGCAATGGCCGGGGACCACCAAGGGCCCTGTGAGTCCGTTCATGTCCCCTGTCGCTAGTATCCATGATGAGATCATCTTGGTCGGCGATGAATCTTTTCATTTGCTCGAAGGAGGTGCGCATCTCAGCTGCACTTCGGACCAAAGTAACTAGGATCTCGGTATCTCTGGCATTCCGCTGGGCATCCCGCACAGTCAAATGATCCATAAGAGCGACAATATCCTGGGACTGAATTCTCTCGATACCACGGCCGGTGGCACTATCGTATAGTGGTGAGCCAACGCCGTGAGAGTAGCCACTGAAGTGGCGTTCATGACCAGAGGCAAAAGGATCGTCTGCCCCAGCAGGACTGTCGAAGCTACCCATTCCAGCGGCATCCACGCCCCCAAGACCCCGACTAGCTTGCTTCGGTGTCCCGATGCTAGGAGACATGGGGTTGGCAGCCGAAACATATCCTTCATCCTTGGCACCAGGAGGAGTACCAAACAATTGCCGGGGCCGGTTGTCGGCAGAGTGAGCAGAATAGTCATCGCCACCAAAGATATTCTGGGCAGTCTGGTAGTACTCCGCATCAAGCCCTATCTGTTGCTCGGCGTTGAGACCCTTAGAACCACCGATTTGTTTATCGTAATAGTGATCGACGGGCGGGGACCCTGAATCGTATCCCCATTGATCTGCCTGAGTAACACCACCAATGGGACCCTGAATGATGGATGGGTTGGTGTTGATTTCAGACTCCGATTCTTGGCTTTCAGCATCCGCAAGAGGACTTTCCATTCCACGCGGGGCGTTGTTGGCCATCATAGCAGAGTCGTCCATGTCCTCAAAGGACTGGGTAACGCTCTGAGGTGGCGATGTAGCACCCATGCGTCGAGGAAACGAGGTCTCATCGGCGTTGAAAGCATCCTGACGTTGCTTAAGGGGGCTTCCGCGGTAGACCTCACTTCCTGACTTTTCAGGGCTTCGGCTGCCTGATCGTTGACCCAGATCGGTTTGTGAGCGGTTCGTGGATGAGACCTGAGATTCAAGGACAGAGGGATCCATCAATGAAGCGACCGCGGATTCGACAGCAATCGGGTGGATAAATTGGGGATTAGCAGCCTTGCCGGTTGCGACATGGTGGCCTTCTTTGACTTTCGCCATGAAATCAACATTGCTATCTCCATCGTCGACAGAGCGCCTGCTCTCCTCCTCGTAGCCATAGAAACCATTGTCCTGGGAGCCCTGGCGAGAATGTTCGTACCCGAGCCCCGATAAGTCCTGGCTGTGCTGCTTGAAAAGCCCACTCTGGCTATGTGAGCTGGTGCCCTGGCGGGTGGATCTCGCCAGGTTTGTACTGGGAGCGGATGATAGAGAGTCAATGGAGAGTCGAGGTTCAATGTCATGTTTGCTTTCGGCATGTTGTTCGCCATGAGCGGAGTAATGATCGTGGTGAGTCTCAGTATGGTCACTTGCAATACTCTGGATGGGGCTCAACCCGCGGCCGGTGGTCTCATGGTGATAGTCATCTTTCGGTTCGTGATGTCCAGGGTGAGAAGCGTCAAGGAGATTAGCTGCGGCTGCAGCTGCAATTTCCCAATTGCCACCGTCGGTTCCAGGAGATTGGCTCTGGTGATGCAGGTCACGCTCCGAAGCACTGTGAGCCGAAATGTTATGATGCGACTGATTGCCATGGCGCATTCCGAGCTCATAACGCGAGTCGACGGAGTTTCTTGTAGGAGTGCGGGAAGCTGGCGACATGCCCTGGCCCGGCGATCCGCGAGCAATGTCGAAGTAGGAGGTCTGCTTTTCGGGAGTGGGACTTGCCGTTCGCTCAGAGAGTAACGAGTTCCTGGTCACCTCAGAGTCGATCTCACTGTGCATTGGCATTGGCGGAACATTGTGCTTTTGGAAAACAAGTTCTGTTTCGTTATAGTGCATACTATCAGTGCTCTTGCGTGAGCCACTTTTCCGGGAGCCACTGTTTCGGCGGTGTTCCTTCTTGCCGAGACTAGAGTTGGAGTTGTGGTGTTTCAAAGAAGCGGCTGTGAGAGCAGACCCGACCCGGGCGGCAGCATGGGCGTCACGAAGACCCTTGCTCTTCTGCCTGCGGATCTTGTCTTGTTCGGTGAATTCAGGTCGATTGGCCCATCTCACAGCCATATCGGAGGTTTCGCTGCTTTTGCTTGACTTCCGTTCCTTGTTGCGTGGCGCCGACTCGGGAGAGAGAACAATCCCTTCGTCTTTGCTATCCTTGTTCAAAACAACTTTGGGTTTCATGACATCCGGCGCACTGGCGTGCTTGGAGAGACGGCGACCTAGCTCATCTCTGGAGCTTGTGCCGGACGAATAAGATGTAGCCATGTCCCGGTCGAACTTGTTCTTGTTGGTCATGACCTTTTGATCCTTCTTGAGCTCCTTTAGCTCCGGTAGGATCAATCTCCTAATCGCATCTTCAACCGTCTCAAGTAATTTCGGGTTATTGATAGAGGACTTGGATGCACCGGAGCGAATCGAGTACTGATCTGACTTGCGGTTTGAAGAGACTGCAGATGTGCTGAGAAGACTAGATGCGGGACTGATATCCTCTTCATACTTGTGTTTTCGGCGACGGGAAGATTTTGTTTCGGCATCGAGGTAATCCTTGCCGCTCTTGCTTCTGTTTCTGCTGCTCGAAGTTTCTTGTGGTGACCCAGTGAGCTTCTCTGCCACGCGATGCGCAATTCGCTCCTTACTCAAACTGCGACTTCTTTGTCGGTGAGGGGTCTTGAGCAATCCCTCATCTTCACGGGGAGGACTACGCTCCATACTCTGGCTGCGTTTTCGCCTGGGACCTGCCGATGAGGCGTTGATCATGCTCTCTGGTGGCATGGACGAGACCTCCGATGTCATGTATCTGGTAT